GAAGTCCCTCTAGCTTTTCACTGTGCAAAGCACACTTTCTTCTGCTGAATGACCTCTGGAGAGGGGACCAAGCAGGTCATTAGCTCCTGGATATTGAAATCACAGTTCCAGGTGCAACTGGTGAGGAAAGTGGAAGGATGCATCAAGGAAAACAGAGTTCTACATGACAAAGCCCCTGTGCTCTATGATAATGACTTCAGACTTGCCAACCCTCCCTTTTTTCCCCCTCCCTTCTCTTTCCTGCCCTGTTACCATGCAGTTTATTCTGGGTCTATTATTGGCTCACACTTCTGGGGTTTTTTTTCTCCCATACTACCTGTATTCATTCAAGGCCAAGCACAATACCATGAGAAGAAGGGGATATCTGTGATGAAAATTCTGAGGCTCTTCTCCCACCCAGGCACAAAAAATTCACAGGATCCTTTCCATGCAGAAAGCGAAAATACGCAGAACTGTCCCTCACCTTCCACTGAGGGCCAGAATTTGGGGTGTTTTTCTCTGTCAGAAGGCAGCAGGCAACAGGCAAATCACTGTTATCTGCGTGTCTTCCTTTTCAGGGAGGGCTGTGTGTCTTTTCCATTTAGGTAATAACAGGCTTTTGGCAGCACCTCCAGCGCAAAGCCAAGCTGCAGGAGAGCAGCAGGAGCAGAAGAGTTTGGCTGAGGTTTAACAGCTCACATTCCACTGATAATGGGGGGTTTTCCCAGAGCTCTGCCAAGGCAGGCTGGGTCTGTCCAGGGAGCAGGAAGGCAGGAGAGACAACATCAGGAGAAAAGGGGATTTGTTAAGGCAAGTTTATGGAGAGGGATGAGCAAAGCCCAGAAGGCGGAAGGTACCACGGGAAAGAGAAACCAGATGCAGAAGTGAGGTGAAAGGATTAAAGCAGAGAGAAGATAGAGGAAGAGAATGGAGGATTCTGCAAAGCAGCGTAAATTTGGACAAAGTTGAGAACGGTCAAAATTTCTGATGACAGAAAGACCCCAAAGTAGTATTTTTTTAGGAAACAAAATACTAGCTTTCTGCGCGCTTTATGCCATTTTGGAGGAAGGGTCAATTACAAGCTCCGAGAAATTCCTGACTGTTATGCGAGTTTTCACACAATTGCAAGGGTTTATATTTCTCTCCCTTTTATTTTCTCTCCCATGTTGCAATAGAAGATAAATGAGAGAGCACACACACAAAAAAACTCCAACAAACAAAAAAGCAAATAACCAAATCCAACAAAACCAAAAGCAAATACCCAGGCTCAAACTCAGACATGTGCTGTTTGTTAATATATTCAGACTATTTCAAGGTGTCTCTCCCCAACAAGTCAATTTTAAAATCTCAGTTTTTCCATCTCTCCAAAAAGGGTTGAATACAGTTTTCCATGTTCACATTGCACACGTGACTCCCATGTGCTGCTGGATGGTGATACCATTGTGAACTTCTGCCCCACTGGGAGGTCTGTGACCCCCAAAGGAGGCTCTGACTTACCTGTGAATGTGATCCCAATCAGATGGGGCTTCACTGTCACTCAGAAGCTTGCTGACTAGCAATAAATATTCATAGAACTGATTAGATGTTAATTGCACAAATCACCACCTCTTCAGCCAACTCCAGGAGCCTTGCTGCCACCCACCACAGTTAAAGAGGCAGCAGAAAATGTCTCTTCTGTAGGTCCCTTAAGGTCAGCCTGGTAGCTCAGATGGAGGTTAAATGAGTCACCTTGCCACATCCCTTAGCACAGCCACAGCAGTGCTTCCCCAGTTCTGCTCCAGGTGAAGGGCTGTGCTCCTGCTAGTGTAGCCCCCAGGGGCCAGGAGCCCAGAGACATCTCTGCAGTGTGTCCTGCCCCCCCTCTCCCCACACACTGCTTGCTGTCCAGCCCCACAGGGATTGCCCTTCCCTGCTCCTCTGTTATCTCTGTTCTTCCCATCCAGACAGGTTTGCCAGGTCCCTTCAGCAAGGTACAGGAGCAGAGCACGCTGTGCTGGCAGGACATATGGTGCTCTCCCTGCACAGCCTGTGCCTTTGAGGGCCCATATGTGATGGCCACCTTGCACCATCCCCACTGTCTCCCTGAAGTGTTGGGCTGGCACCTCTAGTGACACGGCTCCATCCCCACAGGAAGAGCACAGCTGTCAGACACGAGGTGTCCCTCTGTGGTGTGGCACAGCAGCTGTGGCAGAGGTTGCAGGCTGCTCAGAGGGTGTTTGTACCCTGCATCCTCCTGACATTTGTGCTGCCCCTGCTCTGGAGCTGAGGCAGGAGCCCTGTTCTTGTCAGTGCCAGCCCTTTCTCACTGACGACCCACAGAGACCCAGAGTCCCCCACCCTCCCTGACTCATTCCTTGCATCCCTCTGCCCCGCCACACACAGCCTCCTTGAACCTGGCCACTAGCACCAGCCTTCAGCAGCAAACTGCTGTCTGTACATGGGCTCACACACAGGGGAATGTGATAGCGTGGGACAGGCAACATTCATCTTCATTGCAGAGAGGCAGCAGGATTGGAAATGGCATGGCAAGATGAGACTGCTGCGTGCCCCTGTCGCAGGCACTTAGAGCAGAGACACTGCAGATGTGACAGCAGTGACACTCCACGAAATCCTGGCCAGGTCTCAACCCCTGTCTGCCTGGGTTTCCTCCAGCCCCCCAAATGGGTCCTCTGCCAGGGAGGCAGAACTGATCCAGAGCAAGGTGCAGCAGAGAGGCCATGGTGCCTTTAAGAGCCATCCTGCTCTCTACCTTTGTGCTCTGGCCTTTCTGTGTGAAAAGTGTACTCAAAACAAAAAAAAATTAAGAAGAAAGAAATACCTCAGTACCCCTGGCTCTCCCACCCTCAGGCATCAAATTGCTTTCTAACCACCAAATATAAGTGGTGGGAGGCAGAAGGAACTGCTCCTGTTGGGCTGACAAATCTGACTGCACCACTCCAACCAGCCCAAATACAGTGAGGCTGTGCTTCTTCCCATACAAAAGAGTGGCTCCCATCCCTCTGAGGCCATTGCAATAGCCTTTCCAATGCCATGGATTTATGGTACGAGCTGACAGAACTGTTGTTCCCCCTTGGTGTCAATCCCTGCACTGCTGTGGAGGGGTGAGGTACAAGTGCTCACACAGAAGGAGTTAAAAGGCGGGCAGTCCTGGTGCATATAACCCTGTTTAGCTGACAGAAAACTGCTCCTTGCTTTTCCCATTGTGCTGAAGGCTGTGTGACGCACAGCTGAGCAGTTTCAGGCCTGACAGGAATAGTGTCCCTAATGGGTGCTCTCACCTTGCCACTGAACACCATCCTGGCCAACTTGGATGCAGTCTTGCCTCCATTTGCTCCTGGGCCCCCATCAGCAAGAGCATTCAGCTCCTGGCAAAAGACAGGTTCAACTGATGTCCTTTGATGGCTCTCACTCCATAATTCAGTCCCATGTGCCTCCATTTGTACGCTGTCCTACCCCTCCAGCTCACAGAGATTTTCTCTACCTAAGCCGTACTGCAGGAGGCTGCTGGCTCTCCTCACAGCTGCTCCATCTCTGTCAGTGCAAACAATTTCTAGAATGCCTTTTTAAAATGTATTAGCCTTCCAAAAAGGAGCTAATAAACAGGGGATAGGAGGACAGGAAGGAGAGGGGAAGAGGCAGGATGCAGGTCTATTCCACACATCTGCACTATTCTCCTCCCAGCCCTTTTATGAAAATAGATGGACATTTATTATGAAAAAGGATGGCTGGGTGTGTGCAGGAATCCTTGGGCAGGCAGGGAATAAGTGTCAGTCTTCTGCATGTATGTCTGTGTGAGCCACACATGCTGCCTATGAGAAAGAGAAATGCCTCCACCATGCAGACAGCAATGTGTCAGGTTGAGCACCTGAGGGGCTCTGTATGTGTGCCTGTACCTGTGTGAGCTGCTGCAGCTGCCCTCAGCACAGGGAATGGGCGATGGTGGTCAGCAACACGTTTCCTGGTGATGCCATTTGAGTTGCACAAGTCATTCCTCTCATCAATTTCTAAGGGCTCCAAGAGAGTCTCTCAAAGCACACAGTCATGAGTGGGGGGTCAGTTTTAGAGACTTGTCCTGAGACACCCAGGCCAACACCAAACACGTGGGTACGCAGCAGGCATGAGGTCAGGCCACCACTCAGAGAGAGCACGTGTTGCATTACTGGTGGGCAACACCACCTACCATTGTGTTCATGGCACTGGGGCATCACAGAGCAAGCATTTTCTCCACTGGAGCCAAGGAAAGGCAATGGAAACTCAAATTCACTGTTGGTCTCCCTGCCTCAGTTTCTAGGAGAAACAAAACATGGTCCAACCCTTCCCGACTCTTGTGGTTAGCTTGACAGATGGAAATTACATAATTGCCTGTCTCTGTGCATTGTTTTGCCCCTCTCAAGTTGTACTTCCCACCCTGTAACCACTGGGAATAATTTTTTCTGAAGTGTGGGTATCACACTTGAAGGGGAAGAAGGGAAGAGAAAGGACATATGCAGCCTGAAGAGAATTAGAAGGGTTAGGGATGAGGAGCAATGGAGAAGAGCTTGGATAGACCCTGCTGTCATAGGAATGTAGGAATGTCTGAATGTAGGGAGGGCTTAGCCTGGATTCCCACACCAAACACCAGATTATAGGTAGAATAGAGACTTCAGACTACATTTTGATGGCTTTTGTCACACAGAGTATAAGCCTGAGAAGCACTAGAACAGACATTTCTCACTCCAGGCCGGGGCTCTGGGGCATCTCTCACCAACCAAACGTATACTTGTATTTCTCTTACATATATGGGAGATGTTGCCAAGATAAGAGGCCATAATCTGCCTTCTCATCCACCTCTGGACATGAGCCTGCCTCTGCAGGAGTGAATGTGTGTGTGCAAGCACGTGTGCTCCCGAGCAGTGGGCAGCAAACTCACTCTGTATCACATCAGCAACAAAGAGATTCAGTGCAGGAGACATTTGCAGGCACGAGCAGAAGAAAACCTTCACATTCCTTCTCCAGGGTGAGCACGTGCTCCAACTCCGAGATACGCTCCCTGCCTCTTGAAATTAATTCAGCATTCCTGTGGCTTGGGCGAAGAGAACTGGAATGAAAATTCGGGCTGTGCTGGCCTTGCTGCAGATTGCCTGGTAGATACAGCCCTCTGCAGGAAGGAAACAGCCAAGAGACTGCAGCAGTGCTCAGATTGCTCTGCTGGGCACAGGAACATGGTACTCTTACCTCACATCCTCTGACTTTATCACGAAAATGATCACATTACCCTGAGTTTTTGGCTTATTTTAAGCACTTTTATTTCTCTCTTTACACAAGAGGCAAAAACCCCCAGACTCCAGATGATACCATTGTATGAAGAAGGGAATGAATGCCTCTGTGTGTGTGTGCTGCTGGGGAGATGTATGTACCTCCATTTTTTCATGCCATCTGACTGTAAAACTTTCAGATACAAAGCCCACACCTCTGAGCTGCTCAAGGAACCAACCTTTGCCAGGGAGCCATCAGCCAGGAGGAGAGCTAGAGTTTGGGTTTCCTCCCCAAGGAAATCTGTGGTGGTCCCCAAGTCTCAAAAAGAGAGACAACACACCCAGAGCTGCTTTCCTGGTCCCAAAGCATCTCTATGCTCAGTTAGCCCTTACGTTGAATAGGGATTCAATTGTCTTTAACTTTTTAGCATTTATGACACAGTTACAGAGCGGGGACTTCCTAGGATTACAGCTCTCACTACAGGCTTTAGGAAGGGAGAGAGAGGGATTTCTTCTGAACTGAGGGGTTCTTATCTTACCTTGACCTCTGGTTTCACAGCAAGTTTCTAAATATCAGTGGCTTCCACCCCACTACCTCTACACATCTGTTCATGGAAGAGAAACCACTGGGGCCTTTCTGCTCTGCAACTGAGTGGACCATGCTCAGCTGCTCCAAGAGAATCCACATGGATCCTCAGAGAAAAATACCCTGGCCTGGTGTGACAACAGGAGGGGCTGGAGACACTGTGCAGACATTCCTTTCTCCTCTCAGATGCTGTTCCACATGTCTGGGGCTACATGGGAGAACCCAAAGGCCAATTGCTGTTGAGCCTTTGTGTTCAGACATGGGCAACCCCCTGCCCACAGTTCTGACAGTCCTCAGTGGATCACACCCTGTGCCTCTGCCTTCAGCTTGGAAGGGGAAGAAGCAAAGAGGGCAAGCTGTCCTGTCAGTCATCTGCCTACCAAATGGGAGGCAGATGGAACCAAAGCTCCCAAATTTCATCACTGGAAGAGCCCAGTGTGAGAGGGAAGCTGTCCAATAACCTACACCTTTCTGATGCCGGTGACCAGGTCATGGGTCAGTTTTTGCTGGCAATCTTTTTCTTACGGGCAGAGACCAAATCATAGAAAGGATCCTGTGTGATGCTGGTCCTGGAAATCAGAGGAAATGGGAGCAAAAGTAAGAGATTTAATGATTGAGAGCAGCACAGACAACCTAACTGATCTTGCACAGAGACACCACTTATCAAAATATAGGACTGGAGATCTGCAGACTTACAGCAGAGAATTTAGCTATGGCTAGAGATTCTCCAGAAGGCACCTTGAAACTCTTTAAAATCAAAGGGTACCATAGTTGTTATACTGCAAACATTCCCTTCCACCCTCCCTGTCCACACTCTGATAAAAGATAGCCAAATAAACTTTGTGACCACTTGCCCCTAGGGCTGAAAAAAGGCAACTCAAGCCTAAAGTTCTCCTCACCGTATTGCCTCAATCCACTCATCACGCTCTGCTGGAGTGGCTGCTGATATCTTGTAGGACTGATGCTTGCCTTCAACCACCTTCCCATCCCCATCTGTTTTGCAGGCTTTGATCTTCTGCCCTTTGCAGTTGGGATTGAAGAGTTCAAAGCAGTTCTGTCCAAAAGGAAACAAAATGGAAAGTAGGATTAGACAGGGGACCAAGAAGACTGCTGCCTTCAACCATGGGTAACAGGCTCAGAGAGCTTTCAACAGGCAGGAGTCTCCAAAATGCAACAGACCCTATCTTTCCCCACCCCAAAAATCTCCCTGTGAGCTAAATAATCTTCCTTCTTAGGTAAATGCACCCCTCCTGTGAAGAACTGGACACTAAACCAGGCTTTATGGAGAGATGGAGATCAACACTTATCAAAACACACCTTCTAGGATCTGTCACTCTGCTTCTCTCATGAAAATCCCTCCCCCTCTTAAATAGATGCAACATCCTTTTCTCTGCCTGCCACCACACAGATAGAAGGCACATTTCCCAGAGCCATGACACATTGAAAAGTGGGTATCCACAAAAGACACACAGAAGAAATGAGTCACTTCCTGGGCAAGTTCCCTAACACCAACAGTTCTGTTTGGTCTACATGTGCTGTAACTCAATATGGAGAGTCCCAAAGAAAGAAATTAAACCCACATCTCCTGGTGCAAAACATGTAGGAAGTCCGCTGTGTGCATTCATCTCTGCCCCCCTACACACATGAAAACATACAATATAGTCAGCCTAAGGACAGCTCTCTACTCACACCAAAAACACAAATTAAAAACACAGCCATGTTTAGATGGGGGCACAAGGCAGTTTGCAACTGCACCTTCCCTCTGAGAAGCAAGTAGAACACGAGAATTTGTGTAGGGTAGGAGTAATTTGTGCGCATCATCTCTTCCCTCCAACCATCTGATAGGCTGTGTTGGCAGAGTGCCAGCCAATGGACACTTACTGGCTTTTTGGGATCATCCACCTTCCGGACTGAGAGGTTCTCCAAGGGGATAATGCCCAGAGGCTCTTTGTCCTGAAGGCAAGGAAACATGAATTAAAACCCAACATGCTCCCCAAATCTATGCTGCTGTTTAGAACCTCTCTGATTTCCTCTGTGGGGGCCTTTGTGGAGGTGACAAGGGCAGAGTAATGCCTCAGGAGACCCCTTCCATTGACACAACGGGGAGTTTAGTCAAGAGGAGACCACAGCTGCAGTGTCCAGCCTCCTCCTCCTCCACGTGGGAGGTGAGGAAACAGCACAGGAGAGAGTGGAGGTGTGAGACCAGTCTGGGAGCACAGGGTAAAAGGGGAAGACTTGCCTCCTACCCTCTGCTCCTCCCTGGCCGCTCAGAGGCTCATAACCACCCAGGACAGTTTCCCAGCCATGAGTTATGCCCTTACCGTGGTATATTCAAAGTAATAGAGGCAGTTATCAGTCAGAATGAACCAACGGCGTTTCCAGGTTTTCACACGTCCTCCTAAAGGCAGTGAGGTTCAGGAGCCATTAGTCACACATTTTTCTGTCCTTCCCCCAAGCTCCAGACATGCACACACAGTCACACCCTCCCAGCTCTCCCTGTAGGTGAGCCCCCAGGAGACACCATGGTACCACTGACGTGATGCTGTGCGACAGACACACACACACACAGAGCCCATTTTGCTCTGATGGCTCTGGGGATGGGGAGGGATATGTTTTTGAGTCCCTTTTTGAGCAGAGCCTGCAGGAGCTGGGACGAGGGAGCAGGCAGCTGGTTTCAACAGCAGGTGTCAGCCTCAGCCCACTGCAGCAGATGGGAGCCAAGGACAGCGGAGATGACGGTAGGTTCCCGGGGCAGATTTGTGGTGGGAGGCAGGCAAACGGGGAGGTCAGAGGAGCTAGGGGAGCCCTCTCCCTTACCTAGTTTCAGCAGCCAGCCTTCACGGTTAGGGTTGAAGAAAGTGTGGGTGAGGTCGTTGCCGTCATCCTCTGGTATGGAGAACGGCTCGTTCTTTATGCTCTCAAACAGATTCTGCCCCAGAGCATCGGTGGGGAAGGACACAGAGAGAAAGTAACATTGATTTCTGACAAAGCTTGTACACAACTATCCTAGGTCCACCTGGCCCATCACTCTGTTTTTACAAGGCAAGCTGGGTCAAGGGCAGGAGAGCACACAATGAGCACTGGGGTAAAACAGTCCCCAGTCTGCACCTCACAGGGTCTCTAGCGGGATCACCAGCTCTTTTCTGCATCTTGTGCTACAAAAAGAGTCTCAGTTTGGAAAATCACAGCCGTAAAATGGTGCTCCCATAGCAAGACAGGCTGCAGCGACCAAACCCAGCATGTCACAAGTCCTGCTGTGGGTAGTATTAAGGCACAAGGAAGGGATTCAGCGCGGCAGAGAGGCAGCCCCGTTTAGAACCTGGGCTGGTGGTGCCAAACGCTGCCGGGAGACCAGCACGTAGACCTACATGGCCACAAGGAGGCACATTTCACAGAGCCAAAGCTTTGGCACTGAGAGGCACAAAGGGTGACATTCACAACAGCAGTGACAGGGAGGCAGGTTACTGCTTTCAAAGGATAATGAAATATTGTTCACATCATTGTATCTGCCATCATTTGCTACACAAATCCCAAGCCAAGAGGGGGAAAGGAAAAAAAAAAGAGGCTACAGACTCCTGCACCGTCCCTCAAATTGTTCTCCAGAGTGTCATTTCTTTCAGTCAATCTAAAGCCTCTACCCTGAGGGGATGCTGCTCAGCAAAGCCCAGGTGTGGGATGTAGGCAGCCCCTTTGACACAAGACAGAAGTTTTTCTGCCCAGGCTGCTTGGGTGAAGGCAGACACATCTAAGCAGGCTGCCCACCTCCACCTTACCTCACAGGGCAGGTCCCATGCCTGCTGAGCCTTCAGGAAAATGCGAGCTATAGCTTTGTTAATGGGTGCATTCCCTGTCTCTGCACCTTTGCTTCTCAGTGGACCCAGGGATGAGAGAATGGGAATTCTTCTTACCTTTAGAAGCTCTTCTGGCAGGTCCCCTCCATTGTCAATGCCTCTGTTGATGGATACAAACCTTTCAAAGTGGGGTTTGTCTTTCACATTGGGGTTGTGCAGGCTGGTGTTAAGCATGATGATAGAGAAGGAGAGTACATAACAGGTATCTAGCAATGAGAAAGAAAATCAGCATGGGTGGCACTTGTCTTAAGAGGACAGATCAATCCACACAGGTGGCTTGGATTTTAGTCACTGAAGTAGAGAGTCATCCTCTCATTTGTAGGAGAGGAAGGGAGATGGTCCCTCTGCTAGGAGAAAGAGGGACACAGTTGATTTCCCGTGAGGGAGGTGACTCCATGCCCTCAGGAGGATAATGGGGCAAATTGGGCAGATGCAGTCTAATAATGGCTCTGTCAGCAGGAAAGCCTCTGCAAACCTACATCTGTCAGTGTTATCTCTGCTGTGATGAGGTAATACCTCATGTGAGGCTGGGAGCCCTTCTCCAGTCTGCTGCCCATCAGGAGGGCCTGGAGCACAGTAGCGAAAGGAGGACTGAAGATGCTCAGTTTACTGAAAATCTTCACAGGACCTGGGCTGCCTCCTTTAGCTTAAGGGAAAACACACTTCCTAGTGATGCTGCCTGTGCTTTGTGAACGGAAAAGGAAGGCTCCTCTCCCTAGCAAACAGCCTAGCTCAGCTTTACAGGCCTCCTTCCCTTAACTACCTGTGGACTGGAACACTGCTGGGTTACACTTGCAGTACCAGCTGGCAAAGGCCTCCATCATCCGGTCAATCTTCTGCGCCTCCCCGGGCAGCCGGAAGCTCCAGAGGAACTGCCTGTCAGGAGCAGGGGCAGAGCATCAGTCACACGGGGCCCAAGGGACATGGGTGCCTCCCCTCAAGCCATGCAACACCGTGAAGGTAAGAGAAGTCATCCCATCACACTGGGGAGAACAACACGGGGCATGGAGCAGGAGCTCTGCTCCTCTCTAGAAATTGCCTGGATACATCAGCCTCAAACACCCTAAAGGCAGGAAGGAGAACTAAGCCTCCCAGAAATCACAGCTCTGCTCCCCTAATGAGGGCCCTGCAAGGCAGCAGAGCCCTCAGGAGAAGGAGTCCTGCCAGGAGGCAGCCTGTAACAAAACAAGGTGCCCTAAAACAGAGCCACTTTGTTATTGACGTAACAGGCACTGAGGACAGATGTCTCCTGCTGCCAAAAATAACCTTTTTCACCCCCCAGACACTGAAACCACAGTGACCCACTTTTCTGCAGATGGGCAACCCAACCAAGGGGCCATGAAAGCATTTCCCACCCCCCTGAGAAACTGCTGACACCTCACAGAGTAACAGCCCTGGAGCCAACACACACAGCAGGGCCTTGGGAAGCTCCCGTTTCAGCTCAAGAGGGCTTCCTGACCTTCCTGGGTGGCGAGACCCAGGGGCTGAGCAGGTTCCAGCACTGTCCCCTGCGCCTGGCCCGCGCACTCACCTCAGCGCCTGCACCAGGTTGAGGTTGGCAAATTGGTGACACGCCACAAAGGCCTGGAGGATCTGAATGTTTGTGGGGTCCCTGGGAGAGGATAGAGGGAAAAGGTCAGAAGAGAGCTTTGACCCTGCTCTGCCTGGGTGTCTCTTGGTGTGCCAACACACACCTGGCTCCATCCCCGTCTCACTTCCCCCCTGACCAAGAAGAAGCCAAGGTGCACGCAGCAGTCTGGGATGACTGATCCCATTACAGGCAGGAGAAAAGGTAGCCCATACCTTTTCTCATAAGTGTGAGGCTCTCTTCATAGCCAGCCTTAGTCACAACCCCAAAGACTCTCCCAAGGGTGTCCTGCCCACCCAGCCCACTGTGGTTGGAGATATGTTCAGTCTTGGCACCTGGATGAGGTCTGCCACAGGTCATCCGAAATGGCAGTTCAGAGGGGCCAGGCAGGACAGGGCCTCCAAGGGGTCTCCTCATCCTGGGTTGCTCACCTCCCACCCAGGTAATCCCCAATGGCTGTCTTGTTCAGACCTTCACCCTTGTGGAGGAACCTGGCGATCTCCTGAAGGTCTGAAGACAATACCTGGTGCTCGATCAGGTACTGGATCCCCTGGGAAGGAGAAGCAGGAGAGAGAAGTAAAACAGCTCAATGGTCTATGGAGAAACTAGGATCCCAACACTCTGATGTCAGCCTTCCTTAGCTTTAATGTACTTTCTCCTCTCTTACACCCCAGCCCCTTCATGAGACACCACAGCCATTTCTCATCTTCCTTCAATCCCTCTTCATCCACCACGGGTTGTCAGTGCCATTTCATCCTAGATTTGGCTAAATGTTTCACTGGGATGGAAGCTCAAAATAGGGCAACGTAGATTTAAAGTCCAAAAATGAAAAGTCAAAATAATAAATTTTAATATTTTCAATGAAAATGCCTTACTGTTCTGTTCCTAAATGTCCTTTTTTTTCTAAATTAAGTAAACTTAAAAGAAAAATTGTTTGTTTAAAAGATGGCATATTAAAAAAAATGTACTCAGTCAAAAATATGGGCTTGAGACAACTTGAAATGATTTTTCCTAAATTTTTTTTCTATGCCACCCAACAGAGAAGTCTGCAATCTTTTCAGCTCCATTCCTCCTAGACAATAAGGATGAAATATGCTTTTTAAGGAATATAGAGGTTGTGAGTTGGGTTGTACAAAGAGTCAATATCCTATTTTAGAGAGAATTTCATGACTTTTAAAGCCAGAGAAGAAGCTAAGGCTTTTTCCAAAAGATTCTTGACAATCTCTAACAATGCTGCAGTTCTCCAGACCACACTGCAATTCTTGCAATATACAATAAATGAATGAAAATTGTTTTAGATCCATCAAAATGTTCTACTTCAACAGAATCACTTCACTTTCTCTTGCAATATATATGAAACTATTTTTAAAATCCCCCAAAGAAAAAGCAGTTTTAAACAAAGAAATCAAAATTTTTGTGAGATTTTTTTCTCACTCTCTTTTCCTTACTTTTTCCCCAGATGGATTTTCAGTAAGATAAATTTAATTCTGAAAACCATTGCAGTGATGATGGGGTCCCATTTTCCAGAAGAAAATGTTTCTCCCCAAAGGTTTTTATCAGCTAGATTCCTAATGCTTACCTCCTCTAGCCTCAGGAACTTTCCATGGGATCTTGGAGATAGGAACTCATTTATAAGTATCAGCATTGCATGGATGGAGTGTAACCTTAGAAAGGAGGGGCAAAGAAATTTCCTTGCATTGCAGCACCTCCCACTCTATGGCATGCAGCAAGAGGGAGGCAAGAATCAGAGATCTGCATTATACAGGCACAGAGCATAACATTTTGACCAGTCTGATTGGCACTGAACTCATAAAGCTGAACTGGTTTGGGGTTAGAATCAGTTTGGGCTTTCCTGCACAGCATGTGAGAGAGAGATGCCTCAGGGGCTTCAAACCAAGGTCAGACAGAGAGGCAAAATAAAACCAACTCTCACACAGGCTCTAAGTACTGACATCATTGCTCTAAAACAACTCCCACTGGCAGAGGGATGTCCAGGGGACTGGCAAGCACTCCAGCTGGGGTGTGGACACTGGGGAAGGCACCTTGACGCTCTCAGCAGGGCACAGAGGAGGCTGAAAAGCTGTCACACAGAGCGGCAGCCACCCAAGATGTTAGCTGTGGTGGTGAGCTGACGATCAGCTATCGCTTGATCACAGCTTGTGGTTTTCCTTGAAGTGCTCAAAAAATGCTCCACTAATGAGAAGGAAGGAAGAGGGAACTGTCTCTCTCACATCGTCTCTACTTAATCATGATGGTTTTAGACCTTTCTGCAGAGGGTTGAAGGCTATGGAGTCTTGATACCACTGGTCAGAGCTCCAGAAAGTGGAAAAGTTACGTTTACTCCACAATTCAGCCAAAACTGTTTCCAAAATGACAGAGACATTCTGTCCTCTTCTGTTCTGAAGGAGCCAAGGAACCTGAGACACTCTCAAAACTTCTCACCTTCTTAGTTCACGCTCCTTTATCACATTATAGCAAGCTCCCAGCCTCTCACGGTCGAGAAGGGCTGTGCTGAAGGGAATCTGGCTCTCATGGCATGCTGGCAGTGTTAAAGCACCCTCCCCTGACTTCTGAATTATATGGTGTGGCCTCTACACCCATGATGGGGGGAGGCAACACAGCCTGATCATATCAGATCAGTCAGGGGCAGGGTAGAGGCTGCTCCCAACAGGGGCCTCAGTGAGGTAGGAACCCCCCACAGTCCCCTGCCACAGCTCCTTTGACATCAGTGGCTGCAACTGGAACAGCAGCCAGCAGAGGCTCTTCCTCCCAGCTTTATCCTTATAAGTGAAATGAACAAATCCTACCTTTTCAGGATCCATGTTGAATTTCTTCCGGCCCAGAGCCAGAATTTTATCCCTCTGTGACAGCTTGCTGTAAACACAAAAAAGAAGGAAAAGTCAGAATAAAGGACCATGTCATTTCACTCACAAGGTGAGATATCACAAGGACAGGTGTCTGACTATCCAGGAATAATGAGAAATATAAGAGGATAGAAGGGCCCCATTTCCCTGCCCCTGTTGTGAACCAAATCCCATCAGTGTTTTTGTTTTTTCAACTTAAAAAAAAGAGACTTTGTAAGCAAAGGAATACTCATTCCACTTGCCTGATCTGCTCTCCAGGATTACTGTCTGCCGCTTGCTTCTCCTCTACACGTTGGAAACACTCAATCTCTGCAAACACCTCAGCAATCTCCTCCTTCAGCTTCTGCAAAAGAAATATCAGGAAGATGAAGGCAATGGAAGGAAAAACAGCAGACACAGCCTAAAGAAGCATACGAGTATGTCTAATTCTTCCCTCAGTCACGGGACAAGAGCAAGTCAGGTGGTCATGACCAGCCATGAATGCCTATGGGCACTACTCTGGAATGACCCTGCTGGATTCCAGCTGAAAACAACTGGAAAGAGAGACAGAAGGATGTTCTCATGCATATAGTCAATCAAGACTGGAAAAATCAAGCTCAATCAGTGTGGTGAGTGTCAGAGAACTCACCCCACTGTTGGTTCCAGTTCCTCAAACAATGTCAGATGCAAGAATCCTTCCATTGTGCCCACTCCTTTTGAGCTTTTATTTTGCATAGCCCTGCTATACATCCAGGAAAGGAGAAGTGGAACTGGTAACCGTGAGATCAATATGAACCCAAAGTGGCTGCATTGTGAAACACAGAATTTTTAATGTACCTGTCATTTAAATACCATTGAGCAGATACCTCTGTTCAATGGAGAAAAAAAAGAGAAGTAAAGGTAAAGTAATTACTGCCAGATTTTTAAAAAATCAATTGTGGAATTCACTTTCCTTTAGGCCCATGACAGACCATGGCTGCCTTGGCTGGATATTCTGTGTTACCATGGAAATGAAAGTGTCTATATCTCCTCGTTTCCATCCTGCAGTTACGTTCCACCTCAAAGCCAAAGCACATCACAGCTCTCTTCTAGGAATCGCCCAAATTCTTCCCCATATCAACCAGAACAGGGAAGGGAAGAAGGGTTATTTCACAACAGATCCTTTCTCATCAAGGAATGAAGATGTGGATGGAGCTCATAATCAGACAGAGAAACTGAATTTCTGCAATATTCCATAACTTAAAAGAGCTTCCTGCTTTCAGTTTTGCGCTGGCCACCTTCTGTTCTGCTTCATTGGTCCCCAGAGCTGTGAGTGTTCCTTACTAAGTTTTAGATGTTGCAGAAATGTAACAGAACCATGACCTCAGCTCATAACTTTCAAATGATTATCAACTTTGTTATTTTATTCACTGCTGTCTTTTGGCAGTGTTAATGGCAAGCCAAGACCCATCCTCTTTTTCTCTTCCCTCCCCCTTCCCCCTGATATGCCCCCAAGTCTTTGTGCTTAAGGGTACTGATAAATACATTCTGGAAAAATCCCCTGGGGAAAATGTCTCTTGTTCTACATCACTCTTTTCAACCAAACTCACTCTGCTCCACTGGACATTGTGTACTCCATTGCTTAATGGCTTTGGGTTTTAAGCACAGGTTTGTGCAGTCTAGCAACCTTTCTCTATCCATAGTGGGCAAAAAATGTAGTATTCCTGTTCAAGTATCCTGCTCTTACAGTGCCCATCATCTGTTCTGAAAACTGAAGAGAAACACACACAAGCACATCCCAGGCATGTACATTCATCATCTGTTTTGCAAGCAGGGACGAGAGACCATTCTGGTTTTCAGCAGAGAGAGGAAGTATGGAAGCCTAAGAAGTAAGATGTAGTTTGGCTTAATCCTTTACTCCATTCCAGGAAATACTGCAGCTATTTGCTAGGCATCTGGACAGCTTCACGTTGTGGAAAAAAATCAGTCCAAGTCCAATGATTCAGTGCTATAAGCTCTCTCCAATGGGAAACCACATTTCATGGTGGAGGCAGAAAGAATAGAAAGGGCACAGCACCACGTAGGACTCTGATGCAGTCTTAGTGACTGATTTTGAATCTGTTACTTTCAGACATTTTAGGAGATATGGAAGAAACACTTGATGCTAAAAGAAAAGAAGGAAAACAAGTTCCAGCCACAGAAACATGTGGAAGGTCCTGCCATGAGACCTCTTTGAAGAGACAGGATCCTTCATGCAGGACTTGCTAGAGGTCCACAAAGCAAACAAGTTTGATAAACACAGGGGGATGCTGCAGGTAACTAGGATTGATATGCCATTAGCAGGTAATCAGTAATTAAAAAGAATCATAAATGCTGAGCCAGATGCCTGCCAGTTCAACTTAGTGAAGACATTTCTTTACTCCTAAATATACAATCCCAGCTCAACATTGCTCATAATCTGACCAGTCTTTTTCAAACATCCCATTGGGGCAGCAGATGATTCCTGCAGCAGAGAGTTCCACAGGCTGGAAGTGCCCTGGTGGCAAACAGGCCAGGGCAGCCTGCAGTTTAAAACTGAAGCTGGATCACGACTGAGAAAATGCCTCCTTTGCAAGAGTGCTTCTGCATGGCCTGGACTGTTATGTGAAGATGTACCTTGGTGATGATAGATTTCAGAAGGCTAGGCAGGCACAAGGGACAGGATGGTCCTTACCTCAATGTCATCCAAAAGCTCCTGTTTGTGCTTCCTGATTGTCTCTATTTCAGCCTCTTCAGCCGCACTCAAGGCAGTTGATTCTGAAAGAATAAAGATTCCTGTGAAAACTCTACTGGGGTCAATATATCATGGAGAAAGCCGCCCCAACCTCTCAGCACTTACCTTCTCCTAGGGTCATGCCACAGCAACTCTGATTTCTGTGTTTCAGCATCTGTGCTCCCTGCTGTTGCAACCACTGCACCTCACCTTTGCCTTGCAAATGGTTCTCAGCCCCGAGAGTGCAGCACAGACCATGCCCCCTCTCCCTGCAGCCAGAGGCTCTGCACAGCTCTCTCAGCTGACCCTGCAGACACCCACTGCCTATTCAGCCACTTCTGCTGGCCCTGAGCACGGTGAAGGGGTCTCACTAAATGCTCTCTGGTGGTGGTTATGTCAGTCATCTGAAAATCTATGTACTAAATACTTCATCTACAACCAAACCTCCCAAGAAAACCACTGGCTTCATGAGTTGATCTGCCATAGCTAGAGTCAGAAAGGGCTTAAGAGAGAAAATCGAGGTTTTTCAAGGAAGAGGGCAGGATCTAGGGGGCGAGAGCCTTGCTGAAAAAGGAATGTCTTTGAGTGGCTGCTGTTCTGCTAACAGCAGAAAATGCAGAAATATGAGTAGGCTTCCTTGTAATGTACAGGAACTTAAACAAATAGCAACAAAGCCAAGGCAACCACAATATGAATCATGAAAGACCTAAAACATGGGGTGACAGTGTCGCTGCTAAATATAATCCAGGTGAACCACAGCCTCTTCTGCAAGGACAATGAGAAGGCTGCAGCCCTAGAGAGGAGACAAAGAGAAGATGAGGCCCCAGGAAAAAAGCAGAGCTTGCAGAAGGCTGAGAGCACTGGAGATTACTGGTGAACTTGCAGACAGGGTCCTTGCTGCACCTAAACACTGCAAGACAAAGCTTCCCTAGGAAGCCAGCTCAAGTCACTGGATGCTCTGCTTCACTGTTTCATAAAACAAAATCCCCTGGGCCTCCTGTCTTCCCAGAAAAAGGGAAGTAGCACCAGTTGCATTGGAAATTCTCTTAGTGTGGATCTCACATGCAAAACAACTGCTATAAATGTGAGTGGAAGAAAAAAAGGGAAGGAAGCAGCCATGACAGACAGAAGGAAAAGCGACAAGGGCAATCATCTTAGTATGCTTCTTTCCTGTCATGGTCACAACAGCTCAGAAAGTCCTGCCTTCCCCAAGCCTAATCTCTCCCCCATACTCGTGGCTGGTTGGGTTTCCATGTGCTAAGTATGTTCCTGTTACTTTTCTCAGGCCTCAGCCTCTCTCCTGCCACTCTTCCTGATGGTTTCAAGCATCGCGTTCCCTGGGGAGAGGCTGCTGAGTCTGTGGGAGTAAAGCACTGGACAAAGAGCCAGCACAAAGCCAGGCTGGGAAGGACCCACGTGCCCTCCCAGCCCTGCAAGCAGCCCTTGTGAAGAGCAGCAAGAAGCTGTCTCATTGATGAAGCCAGTCAAGAGGAAAGGAAGAAAGCATCCAAAAGCTCATGACAACCAAACCTGTAGGTGAGGGGAAAACCAAAGCAGGCAGGAAAGTTAGCAAACAAAAACCAAACAAACAAGAAACCACAAAGAAAACCAACCAAAAATATGCAGTGGCTCTGGTACTTGTTAGGTGGGTTGCTGACTTCCCTTTGAATGTCAGCCCTGTGCCTCTGAGCAGCGCCCAGGCCCTTCAGCTTAATTTCTGTATCCTGCAGTTGTGGTGTCTGCAGGAGATCAAGACAGCCTCTGTCTCTCCAGCTGTATCTTGCTCACTCCTGCTGGAGCTTGTAATTGTGGAATCACAGGGGTGACTCCTTGACAAATTACAACAAAGACCTTTTGCCCTGTATTTCTTTCCACAAAAGCACCGTAGGAGGACAACCCTGAGGAACCTTGCCTTCCCCGCCCCATCAGCAAACTCTGTGGTGTGGCTGGTTGCTTTGCTTCAGTTGTTCTGTGTCTACTAAAGCCTCTCAAAGAGTCATGAGGCTCCCAGAGGACACCATCTCACCCACACGACCCCCAACAAGGCTGTAATTAACACAGTCTCCCTTCCTCCTGAACACCCCAACTCCCACCTGCTGAGTTTGTCATAATGAGAAGAGTGTGGGAAGGACTGTGTGTGTGGGAAGGGCAGGGGAGAAAAAGAAGGAGTCATAGAGAAGGGGAAGGAATCAAGGGGTAAAAAAGTAGGAAAGGGCGACACACTTTGGAAAAAAATGGATGGATCAAACTTTTAGGGCAACTTAGACTGAGCTCAGAGAGGGTCTTTGTCAGGTTTCCTATACAGCTTAAGTCCTTGGCTGCATGGTCCATGCCTTGTCACAGTGCTCAGTACCACCTCAGTTCTACTTCCCTCTAAGACTAGGTCAGCGCACAGATGAAGCATAGCCCTGGTCAGGGCTCTCTGCACAGGGGGAAATTTCACCCTGATGAAGAACACACCACAAAAACACCCACAGGTTTCAGAAAGATGCTGTCAGCCCAACCAACACTGACGTTTTCCAGTTCAGACACAGAAAAAGTGGCTAGCATCCTCTCCAGAGAGAACATTAGGTTGTTTGGAATTTATTTTCAGAGAGCAAACGTTGAAAGGACAGTGCATCAGCATCACGTTTGTGGGTCTTACACCTGCTCCTAAGGTTGTTTCCCCACTCTCAGGGCAGACCCACATAGAAAGACCTGCCTGCTCTTCACAAACTGACCAGGACTGTATTTTCAGTGCTGTCACTCAAAACAGGACACAGACTTCAATTCCAGTTGTGTGGCTTTTGCCTTCAGCCTCCCCACCCAGAGAGCAGGTCAGAGTTGCCCAGATATCTGGGTACTTGTGTGGCCAGCAGAGAGCAGTTCTGTGTTTGCTGGTTTCACTTCCCATTGCAAAGGGCTGTGCTGAACCACCCAGGTGTAAGGCTTTCAATCCCATGGAAAATTATAGGAATGGGGAGATGGCTTTGGAAGCACAGAGGTAAGTGGGAAGTAACCACCCAGGAGAGCTGGAAGGATGACCTGCAGAAGCAGCAGGGGAAGGTTAAGAAGAATGACTGTATCTGTGCCACCACTGCAGACCCGTGTGTTACACACCCACTGTAGGACAGCAAAGGTTCATCAGGCTCATTTGCAAGGCAATGGAAGGCTTTGAGTATTGCTGCTAAAGGGTTTGGGAACCTCCACCCATGGCAGCAAAAAAGCAGAGCAGCCTAATAGGCAGCTTCTGCCTGAAGGAAGCTCCCTGGTAGAAAAATTTCACCTGAAATTCCCTTTCTTTTTTGATATGGCTGCTGTCATCTCCAGTAAAGACCACCACCTCCACAGACAAGTACCAGTCTAGTAGAGAGATGACAAAGCCTCCTACTCCTCAGTTCCCTCCAGCCATGTGTGTCTCCCTCCTGCAGCACTCCACAGTTCTCTGCCAGCTCATGTGAAAAGAAATTTAACATAAATCCCAACAGGTTTAATTTGCACACTTCAGCTATGGGGGGGAAAGCTGGGAAGAAGGATTTATGTAGTCTACTGGTCCCCTTATCTCACGTGACAACTTACATTCATCCTTCAGGATAGCTTTCCATGACTTTTGACTACAGCTCTTCCCCCACACATCCCAGCTGGCACAGGATACCACAGTACCAGTCTGCTCTTCCAGGTGTCACACATCCAGCTCAAGGGCTTGGCACACCAGCTCTGTGGCCACACTCAGACCGTCCTGAGAGGGTTCTGAAGGAAGCTGGAAGAGGATACACACTCCAGGGAGAGCAGCCTCCCCAAGGCATCAAGCTTTGCTTGCAAACAGATGTGCACCTAACAGGACCATCACGTCTCCAGGTAGGAGCGGCCCCAGAGAAAGATGCACATGCACCTCTGACCTTCAGGACAATCATGCCACAACTGAGCAATTCCAAGTGCATTCAGTATTCTAAAGCTCACTGGAAAACTTGGCTCCCAAGGAAATTCAGCACCAAACAAACCCACTTTCTCACCCAGCTGTGGAATGATAGGATGGGATTGAGCAAAAACATCAGTCAGAGCCAGCACATCTCTCCAGGCATTGCCTGTCTCCAGGCTCTGCCTCTACCCAGAACTGAGCAAACCCCCATGGTGCCTGAATGGGATCTCATTGTGCTATTGCAATGTGTATACTTTCTTGACAGTACACGTGCTTGAATGTGTAACTTTCAAGATATAATTAATGCAGTAACACAGAACTTGAGTGAATGACTGTGTCAGACCTTCAGTTAGGAGACCCCCAGTTTCTGTCGAAGGCACACGCCAAAATAAATAGCAAAGTATGAGTTATCCCACCTCCTGCCAAGTTTGTCCTGCACAACCTTTGTCCACAGTTGCTTTCAGATAGTGAGGGCTGGGTGATCAGAAGAAACCCATTTTCACCAACATTCAATACCAGTCAGATGCTGGCAAGAACTCGGCTCCTACAGCCACCAATTTCCCTGGCAAGCAAGGCTGGTGTGTGGTTTGAGCATGCCCTTTCCTTGGCTACACACCTCAGAGCTAAAAAGTGCACAACAGCTGTTGAAACTGGGCACTGCTTTTTGCTTTCACTCTGTGCTCCATATCCTACACACAAAAGCCTGAGGGGACAGAGGCAGAATGAGAAGAGATATTGCAAGGTGATCCTTTTCCTTCCTTTGTTCAGCCTGTTCCCACTCAGCTCTCCCTCTTTGCTGGCTTTGCAAAGACACACACTCCGAGCTTCCTCAGCCAGAAGCTGGAAATGTTCAGTCTGGTGGCATGCTTTTCCTTGCTGAATCCCAACCACTTTATCCACCACCTGCCAAAGCAGGAAATAAAACCCAAGGTCTCTCTCAGTTCCTCAGATGCGGTTTATTTCCCCTCACCCACATCTGCCCACTGAGATTGTTTCAGGACCAGGCAGGCCCACCTGTAGATCACCTGGAGCTTCTAGAACCCTGATACAGTTGTTTACCTCTAACATGGCCATAAGCAAGGGAGGCCCCAGTACCAAAACCCTTGCATGGGTGTTACACTGGGATACCCAACCGCATGAAAGGCTCTGCAAAGGCAAGCCAGCTCCTGGCATCTGTAGGGAAACACCACGGAGGAGCTTGCCAGAGTTGAATGAGAGCAGCCAAAGCCTACAATGCTCACCCCAGGTGTCACATACACCATTGACACCAAGGAGACACTTCCCAGCTCGGCCGAGCACCGCTGGCCCAAGGAATCAGAGCAGTAACACTCTCAGCACAAAGGCCATTCAAACCAATGGGAAAACTTCTCCCGATGGGAAAGAAGAGCAAGTAAAAAGAAATCCATGCCTAATGCTGAAAACTGACAAGCAATTAACTGTACCACTGGGTTCTTCCACCATATCATTCCTCCAGCCACAGCATCCTCTCTGGCTGCTGGAACTTCATGGTGTGCTCTTCTCCATCAAACTGAGCGCAGGGCCCTCACCCCAAAAAAGACACACAATGGTTGAGGCTTACCAGCAGGACAAAGGTCCATCCCGAAGAGCACGATATATTTTCAACACAACTGGTGCTCCTCCTTGTATTCAGTTTGTTCAGATGCTTCACAGAACTGACACAACTCGGAGGCGGCACAGCAGCTTTTGAGGGGGCGGGTTTGCCTGTGACTCCTCCTTCCTCTCCTCATCCTCCCCCCAGTCACATGTCACAGGCTTGTAGCAGTGCAGGAAGCCGTGTGCATGTTCCGATGGGCCAACAGGGGCTATTGCCTGCTTTTAAATGCAAATACACAAATGCATTTCCATCCCAGCAGATTTTTGGGAATCTTTTCTTTGAGGAGATTAAAATGAGCGGTGAGAGGCTTTTGCCTGAGATACTCAGAGGAGAGAGAGGGAAAAAGGAAGTTCTTGATTTAGAAAACCCATCTGATTGGGGAAGTGGTTTCATTTTAAAGGGAAGATTCTTCCTATGTTAATTCAGCAGCAGAGTGGGGTGGGGGCAGGGATGGGAATGAAGGCTCCAGAACTGGAGGGTGGTTGATGGAGGGCCGGAAAAAGCTGTCAGAGACTCTTCTGCCTCGCTCAATGCTTGGTGTAACTTAAAGTCTTGCTCCTTTTTCCCCCCAACAAAGTGCTTTTCATGTGAAACCTTGTAAGTAAGGATAGAGTGAACTAAGAAGAAATGTAGTCCTCTCTCAGGTTTAGCAATATTCCTGATGCTGAACAAGCTGGAGTTAGCAGCCATTCAGGAATGGGAATGAAATCTTGAAATCAGAAGACAGAGCTGAACAAACACTCCAGAAAGCACATACTGTCAATCAAAAATGAAATATCCAGAAAATTTAAAATGGAGTGACTGCAACAATGGTACTGAGATTAAATTGGGTGTAGGGAAGTAGACCAAAGTGTGCCAAAATTATTCCCTTTGAAATCCTTAAAATCAAGAAAAAAAAAAAAAAAAAAAAAAAAAAAAAAAAAAAAGGGAAAAAAAAAAAAAACAAAAAAAAAAAAAAAGTAAAAAAAGGGACAGAAGAGAAACACGAAAAAAATTGAAATATATAAAAAACAAAAAAAACCCAAAAACCAACCAAACAAAAAGAAACAACAAACCCTGATAGGATGTGAAAAAAAAAGAAGAGCCAATGGGATGATGTGCAGGAACGAGGACCAAAGCTTGTCTAATTTATCCTCATTGAAATCACAAGACTTAATTCCCTTTCCTGAAAAGAAATTCTTCCTTTCAGGGAAGGGAATGAAATATTGAAATCAGAGGACAGAGTTGAACAAACACTCCTGAAAGGAGATATGGCCAATCAAAAATTAAATTGAAAAATCCAGAAGATTTGAAATGGAGTGACTACAACCAATGGTACTGAGATGAAATTGGGTGCAGGGAAATAGACCAAAATGTGCCAAAATTATTCCAGTTGAAATGTCTAAAAGCAGGAAAGAAAGGTAAACAAAGAGACAGAAGAGAAACAGAAAAATTGAAATATGAAAAAAATAAAACAACAACAACAAACCCTGATAGGATGTGAAAACAAAATAAGCCAGTGGGATGACCTGAAGTGCAGGAATACAGACCCAAGCTTGCCCAACTGATCCTCACTGAAATCACAAGATCTCATTCCCTTTCCTGAAATGAATAATTTCAACTCTGTCCTCTGATTTCAAAATTTGATTCCCTTTCCTGAAAGGAAAGCTGTCCTTTCAGGAAGGGGAATGAACAGAGTTGAACAAACACTCCCAAAAGGAGATATGGCAAATCAAAAATTAAATTGAAAAATCCAGAAGATTTGAAATGGGATGATTACAACCAATCATACCAAGATGAAATTGGGTGTAGGGAAATAGACCAAAACTTGCCAAAATTATTCTCTGACTCGGTCCCTTGCTCTAGGGCCATTCAGCCTCAGAAAGAAGGACACAGATTGCCCTCCCTTCCTCCTAGTGTCTTGTATTTGCTCTAACCTATGGTTTTGCTGAAAGTTCAGTGCTGGTTTTGGATGAATCACCAGTGAAGAGTGGGAGATATCCCCAGCTTAAACATGCCAAGCAGTGGCAGAAATCCAGAATGAATTTACACAGGCAGCTGTAGGCAGGGTCACAACCTGTGATCTTAGGAAGAGTTGGTGGTAAGCATTTAGGACTCATTTTCTATAGCCAGTTTAAATATTTACTAAGACGCATTTAGAAACTTGTGAGTGAAAAAAAGAGGAAGGGAGTGAGCTACATGAATGCAAACTAATTTCCAGCTGTTACACCCATGTTTTCACCCAGATCTTCATTACAAGAAATGTCCACACCTAAAACCTATCAGAGGCCTGCACTTGGGTCACAAATTGTCAAAATCCTACCCTTTGCAAACTAAATTTCTGTCTTGAGATTCTGGGCTACTGAATAAACATATACAAATACATATGTGTCTTTTCTGGGTTAAGTAAAGGTGGCCCATCCACCTAGTCCAAATCAGAATTTAAAGCCCAAAATATGGGCTAGAAACAACACGGTATGAAAGATGAACCCCTCCCTCCCAAAAACTGATTCTACTGTCCAGCTGACTGTCACCAGGAAGGGGCCTAATTTATTAAACAGATACAATCAAACAGGCTTTTCTTGTGAATATATGTACAATATCTACAGAGGCAACAAGCACTTTGGATGCCAGGGCCCGGGCGATCTTCCCTAGCCTTGTATTAGAGAGACCAAGGACCAGTTCAGAGTTCTTGTTGTACCATTTCCCTCTGGCTCCCATGGCAAAACCTACAAATTCAATTTCTACCACATTTGTCAATTCTTGTATTTGTGAATGAAGGCGTTGATATTTCTTGGTCTTCTAGCAGCAGCCTCCCTCAATGAAGAGCTTCTGTGCTCATATCTCACTGTAAGGTCAACCACAAACGCCTTAATACCTCTCACAACGAAGATCAAGTCTGGTTGAAATAGTTCATCAACTCTCAAGTGTGGCTCCTGGAATATTGTCCAGTGCTCCCTCTTATCTTCACAGCTAAGAATTTCACAGATGGCATTGTGTCTCTTAACACTGGCATCCTGAGTGACTGGGCAGTTCCCAACTATATGGGCTATAGTTTCAAAATCAGCACCACAATGTCTGCAGGATCTAACACAGTCCTCATGCCCACCCCTAGCCAGGAACTCTCTTGTCAGGTAGACATTGGCTCCCAGTTGCAAGGCGGTTATTAGTTTTTTGTGTGGAATACCCTTATATTGCCTTATCCAGGCATTACTGATATCATCATTCTCAAAATTATCAACACCATGGCCCTGGGCAACCAGATGTTTCTAGTTTTCAAACTCCAATTTCTGCCAATTACAAGGTCTTGGATAGTGGATTTCAGGAACAGGGGCCTCCCATTCTGACAGGCTTTCATCACTGCCACCAAAAACACCTTCTATCATTGGTACAGGTTCCCACATCGGTGGGATGGACTCCTTCTTACCACCAGCACACAACCATAACTTTTCAAATAACAGATCCAGGTGTTCCTCTCTTTGAAAAACTGCCAGAGCCTCATCCGAAGACTGTGTCAATCTATGCAGTCTTCACGCCTGAATACTTGGAATGAGCGCTGCCAGCTTGATGATGCCTAACCCGCCATCTTTATAACCCAAATACAAGATGGCATCACGTGTACTTGGAGGAAGATGAAACCACTCCTTGACTGATTTCCAAATCAACAAGTCAAGGGATTCGAGGAGCCCCACACTCACTTCAGTATGGTCAGCCAGATATACCAGTCTCTGATGATACACATTCTAAGTATATTGACCTTCTGAAGAGATTTAAAAAGTGAGTCACCAATCTGATGAAGCCAATCCACCAGTTTTTCTAATAAACCTGAATCAGCAAAGCCAGTCCAGGGATCAATCCATGTGCCCAGATATTTCTCAGAGCTCCCTGGGTCGATCATATGAAGGGGGGGATCCATTTATCACCCACGGGGGACAGTCATTGACGGTATAAAGAGTCCCTTGTCGTCTTGATATAAAGGCCGTGACATTTTTCCCCCTGTGTCTGAAGACCTGTAAGTTCACAAAAGGTCTCCAGAATCTTGATGTTACAACACATACTGTCCCAGGAATTGCTCAACAGCACTGAATTGTCAGCAAAGGCCATAGCCATTATTTTCAATCTACCATGCTGGAACCCCTGACACTCAGTCTCAAGTTTGCATAGAAGGGGATTGAGTGCAAGACTGAATAGCCAAGGTGACATAGGGTTGCTTTGTTTGACACCAGAGCAAATGTAAAACTGGATCTGTCCTCTCCCTTTCAACAGAAATGTATGTTTTGATAGTCTTGTATGTTTCCCTAACCATCTGGACCGTATGGGGATCAACCCCTTTCTGGATCGACCTGCAAGGATATGCTGATGACAAACGGCATTAAAGGCCTTGGCAATGTCCATAAACACCAATCCCAGGCGTCAATGCTTCTGCTTAGTGTTCTTAACCACAAGCTGTAACAACTTGGGGTTCTTGGAACAACCAGAAGCACAAATAAAGTCCCGCTGTTGGGGTTAATGGGTCATGCTTTTGTCAGCCTCTCCATAGAGATCCTGGAGAAAAAACTCCAAACAAACCAGACTGAAACCCTCTTCCCTGGGCACAGAGGGTAATGATGGAACACCGGCATTCTTGACCCTCAGATCTAAGGGGTTGGTCTGAGTGGCAGTTGATATAAGTCGCAAAGGCAGTGATTGTGCCATTGTAATAATTGGAAAGATAACAACCAGTCACATCCAAGTGAGGATAGTAATAGTCAGCAGTGGCCCTCTCGCAGACTGCCAACTGCGTCCAGCTCTTGCCCATGGACAAGGCTTTGGGCGACAGCAAAACAACTGTGCTAATAATTTTGTTTCAGCAAGGTCATGATGCTACCCCTCGTGGCAAGTCCAACAATAGCGAGGGCCAATTTTCACCCTCCCTCACACTGGGGCAGAAGTTGACTTAGCTACCACAGAGGATATCCAGCAGGGCCACAAAGAGGTGTGACGTCCACAGCTAAACTCAATTAGTAACTATGCTCTCTCTTAAGAGTCATAATTACTCCTGCCAAGAGGAGTATTCA